GATAAATAAACTCCGCAGAGTTGCAGGATACCGGATCAATGTAAAATATCAACTGTATTTCTATACACTCCTTGGGAACCATCTGAAAAGGAAGATAAATCCATTTACAAAAGCACAAAAAAAAATGGAATTTATGAATAAGCATAACAAAAGAAATGCTAAGTCTTGTACACTGAAAACTACAAAATAATGAATTTAAGACACAAATATGTGGGAAATGTCCATGATCCTGAATTGTAAGGCTAAAGATGATAATGTTCTGGAACTTAATGCATTTCCCATCAAGACCCCAACAGCTCTTTCTGCAGAAAGGAAAAACTGATCCTAAAATTCAAACAGAAATTGAGAGACCCAGAAGAGCCCAAACAACCTTGAAAGTGGAGAACAATCTTGGTGGGTGGTGCACGCTTGAGGCAGGATTCCCTGAGCCTAGGAGTTCAAGGCCAGCCTGGGTAACATCAGGACCTCTGGTCAAAAAAGAGGACTCACACTGCCCAACTTCAAAACTTATTGCAAGGCTGGTGTTGTGGCTCAATGGTAGAGCACTTGCCGGGCATGTGCAAGTCCCTGGGTTCAATCCTCAGCACCACGTATAAATGAATAAATAAAAGATCCATCGACAATTAAAAAAACTTATTGTAAAAGTAATCAAAACTGTGTGGCACTTACATAATCAAGACATAAAGATTAATAAGATAAAATTAAGAGTCCAGAAATAAACTAATATTTAGGTTAACTTATTTTCAAAAGAGTTCCAGGATAATTTGGTGGGGGAAAAGCAGTCTTTCAACACAAGATGCTTGGACACTGGAAGTCCACATGCAAGAATGAAGTTGGATTCCTACTTTATATCATGTACAAAAATTAAGTCATTTTATTTTATGTGTATTTTACAACTTAAAAAATAAAAGAAAAAAGACCTTCAAAGTGAATCAAAGACCTAACTGCAAGAGTCCAAACTATAACACTCAGAGGAAAATGTAGGTACAAATCTGCAGGACCATGGGTTAGACAATGTCTTTACAATGGAGCCCCAAAGCCGAAGCAGCCTAAGAAAAATTAGGTAAAGTGAATTTCGTTAAAATTAAAAATGTTTGCGCTTCAAATGACACTATTGAGAAAGTTAAAAGACAACCTACAGTGGGAGAAAATATTTACAAATCACATATCTGCTAAGGGACTTGTTTCTGGAATATATTAGGAACCCTTACAGTCCAATATAAAAAGGCAAATAATTCGATTTAAAAGGGGGTAAGGAATTGGGTGGGGTGACACACACCTATAATTCCAGCTATCGGGGAGGCTGAGGCAGGAGAGTCATAAGTTTAAGGCCAACCTGGGCTATTAAGAGAGACCCTGTCCCAAAATAAAAAGTAAAAATGGATGGGAATGTAGCTCAGTGGTAAGACTGCTGGGTTCAATCCTTAGTCCTGCAAAAAAAAAAAAAAAAAGAAAAAAAAAAAAGAAAAGAGTGGGGAATAGATATTTATGAGTAGATATTTTTCCAAAAACAGACAAACAGCCTGAAATATGTAAAAGCTGTTCAACCTTATTAGCCATTAGGGAAATGCCAGTCAAAACCACAGTGAGATATCCTACATATCTACCAGGGTATCTAACATTAAAGATGGACAATAATATTGTTAAAAAAATGTTGAGAAATTGGAACTGTCATATACTACTGGTGGGAATGTGAAATGGGGCAGTCACTTTGGAAAAGTTTGTCAATTCTTCAGCAAGTTAAACATAGTTACCTGATGTGTGACTTAAAGATGCCCATTCCTGGGATCTACTCCAGACCGACCCAATTAGAATCTCCAGGAGAACTGTGATATCAACAAGTCCCACCCTCCACGCTGACAACCTCTGGACCACATTCTCCCTTGTCTTTTTTCTTCTTTCCGTTCCTTCTCCTTCCTCCCTATCCCCCTTGCTAATTTTCCAGAGAACATGCTGAGCAAGCAATTCTAGCCCTAGGTATAGACCCCAAACCATTGATAATGTGTCCACATAAAAACCGGTACACGAATGCTCACAGAAGCTTTATTTGTAATAGTCCCCAAATGGAAATATCCCAAATGCCCAGCCGTAGATGGAAGGGTAAGTAAATGTCTAACCACACAATGGAATACCTAGTCACAACAGGAGTGAACACTGTTATATGTTATAACATGATAAACCTTGAAAAATGCTCTGTGAAAGACAGCAGCCAAAAAAGGCTACCTATTTTATGATTGCATTTATTTGACCCACCAAAGTCAAATCTATAGGGACAGAAAGTAGATTTGTGGTTTGTCAAGGGCTGGGTTGGAGAGATTGGAAGTTTGGGGAGTGACTGCTGATAAGTATGGGGTTTCTTTTGGGGATGATAAAAATATCCTAAAATTAATGGACTGTGAAAATAATAAAAATGCAATGTTTTGTACAACTTAAGTTGGTAGAATACATAGCTTATGAATAATATATCCACAAAGATTTTATTTAAAAATTTTTTGCTAGGCGGGGTATTGTATGCCTGGTAATCCTAGCCACTTGGAAGGCTGAAGCAGGAGGATCCTAAGTGAGGAATTTTAAGTCGCCTGGACAACTTTGTGAGACCCTGTCCTAAAATAAAATTTTAAAAAAATTTAAGAAGGGCTGAGGATGTATAGCGATAGTGTGCCCTATGTTTAACCACCAGTACTGGGAAAAAGTTTATTGAAAGAACATGTACACACACACACACACACACACACACACACACACACACGCACTATTCCTGTGCGTGTAAGTTGAGATAGGCGATGTCAGATATGAAGAGATGAGTTACAGGACCCCCCATGAAGCTTGCAGCATCATTATTGGCCCAATTTTACAGGCAAAAAATACTGAGCTCTGCAGAAATTTAAGGTCACATAACTAATACAAGTTGGAAGCCAAATTCCAACCCARGAAGTTAATGGCAGAGCTGGGACCCTTACTGCTATGCCACTCTGCTCCTAGGAACTGAGTCTCTGCTCTAAGATGAAGGGGGGGTGGAGAATAACCATTGCTGAAAGTCTTTCTGGGAGATTGCAGTCTCTTGCTAGTGCCAACTCCTCACGGCTCAGCAGAAAGCCCTCCTCATTTGGGTACTTACCATCTGTTTAATAGACATGGTAGAAGTCTTGGTTCCTGCAATTTCTAGAGCGAAATTCAGGACAAAGCAATTTCTTTGTAAATATTCAGTATGCAGCTTCTCTCTTTCAGGGAAATAAAATGATGTCTGCCAATGTGAGAATGCTCAGATGGGCTTTGTTACACAGCCCCTGATCTCAGCCACCTCCGAAAACTCATAACAATATTGATTGTGATAAGCTCTTTTTGAAAGTTCAGGACCACAGCTGAGAACAAAGCTAATCCTTCAGTGTAAGTCCAGTACAGCAGACCTATTTCTCATAAGACATTTCTAAGTGTTCACGTGAGTTCAGGGGTTTGTTTATTGTTTAACCTTCAGTTTCATCAGATTATCAAATGAACACTAAAGACTTAAATGTCTGAAATTTGGATTGTTTGTGAAATCTAGATTTCCAGATAGATAGATGTACAATAATGTTCAAAGGCTATGGAACATTTTAAGGTTCTTGATCCGCATTGGCGAATTGCTTTGCAAAGAGACTGAACCAATTTACACTCCCACCAGCAGTGTATGAGAATACATTTAAATGCAAATCCCAAACTGCAGAGCATCTCTTTCTTAGGTATTTCACTTATTTTATTTTTTTAATGCTAAGCAAAAGCTGACCCAGGATGTTAAAAAAAGAAAGTCTAGTATAAAAGTGGAGCAGATAGTTAAAACGGCTCTTCGGCAGGCATAAGCTTCAGAAAGGCCTAAGCAGGATGATAAAAATTTCAAGTCCTCATAGTCAGAAGTACAATTCTAAAGGGACCATTAACAATTTGGCTTGGATTAGGACGGCAACTGCCAAGAATGTTGGGCGTGGTCAGCGAACCCAATTCGACTTCAGGAAAAGCAGGGATTTTCACTGATTTATACCTCACTTTGTTCGAAAGACGATTTTAAGACGCCCAAAGGCAGGATCTTGAGAAGTACCGTCTGGATCACAGACCCGGTGCAGACGGAGCCTCGCGCGCGAGCCACGCTCAGCTCTCCCGGTGCACCGCTCGCCGTGCCCGTAACCTGAGCGCGGGGAGCGACCACAGACAGGGACGCCCCCGGGGATGGGGCGCTGTGGTTTTCGGGGGCCTGGGGAGGGCGCAGGCCAGAAAAGCCCAGACGCGGGGTATCGACCCAGAGAGCCGGGCACCAACTCCAGAGCTGCGGGTACCTCCACGTTCAGCAGCACCCCCTCCCCGAATACCCGGGCCCCAGCCTGCTTGCGCGTCTGCCTTCACTACTTCTCCAAGTCCCCTCCCCACCCGCCTCCGCCAGAAAGAGCAGACGGCACGGCCCGGCCCGGGCGGGCCCCAAACTCGCCTCGCCCCCTCCCGCCCGCTCTTCCCGCTCCAAGCGGCTCCCTTCCTTTCTTCCCCGCGTGGCCCCCTCCCGCCCCTCCGCAGACCCCTCGACTCCGCTAGTGCCCCGCCCCCGCCGCTCGCGCCGGCCGCAGCCAATCAGAGCGCGGCGTCCCGCGGCCCCGCCCTCCCGGCGGTTCCGGGCGGGCCGGGCCGAGCCCAGGCCGCGCGGGTGCGGAGGGCGGCGCCGCGGGCGGGGGCCGATGGGGCCTGGTGGACTGGCGGCGGCGGCGCGGGGCTCGCCCGGACGCGGCAGTGCGGGGCTGTGAGGGAGGAGTGAGGCGGGCGCTGCGGCCCGCCCGGCATGGGCCAAGCCCGGCCCGGCGGGGCCGAGGCGGAGGCGAGAGCAGAGCGCGGGCCGGGCCTGCTGGGCTGGCTGCCCGGGGGCTGAGGCGGCGGGCGCGGAGGAAGGGGCCGAGCCAAGGCGGTGGGTGGGGCGGCGAGGGGGCGGGGGCTGGGCCAGCGGCGAGCGGGCGGCGCGCCTGTCCGGAGCTCGGCGGCGGCGGCGGCGCCCGAGGAGGCCGAGGCGGCGGCGGGCCGGACGAGCGCGGAGGTGGCGGACGAGGCCAGGGCCCCCATGGGCGGGTGTGTGGGCGCCCAGCACGACTCCTCGGGCAGCCTCAACGAGAACTCGGAGGGCACCGGAGGTAGGTGAGCGCCAGGGGGCGGCCGCGGCCCCCCATTGTTCCCGGCCGGGCCCGGCCACCTGTCCCGACCCCCGCGGTCGCGCGCCCGCCCGCGCCCCTTTGTCATCCCGCTCCGCGTCATCCCGCGCCCCGCTTCCGGCCGCCTTGTCCGCCGCGCGGGGGAGACCGGGGCTGGCGGGCGGGCGCCCGGGCGCGGGGCTTGGGGCGGGATGGCGGCGCTGGGGCGCGGGGTGGCCGGCTCGGCTTTCCCGAGTGTCCGATGACAGCTGCCCGCCGGTCGCCTCGGGCCATTTAAACCTGGAGTTTCCAGGGCCGGCCGGGCGCACTCTGCGTTAGGAGGGAGGGAAGCGTTCTCCCGGCCAGACGTGGCTTTTGGACCCCGCGTGCGGGTGCCGGCCGCGGTGGCCGCCAGGTCCCGCCCGGCTGCGGGGAGGGAGCAGCGCCGGCCTGGGACCAGCACTTGAAAAGTTCCCAGTACGAAGGCCCCCTCCCCTTAGTTAGCAGCCCGTGGAGCCGTGTGGGGACTGGTCGTCGGCAGCCGCGGAGCCGCAGAGTAGTAGTGCACATTCCCCCGAAGTGGCACCGAACGTGCGGAGGTTAGAATGTCAGCCGAGAAACGCGCTTCTAGGAACAGCGGCGAGGACAGTGTGGGTCTGTTTTGGACCTGATATTAGGTGCTTCCAAGTGGGTGCATGTTTGTCAGCTCCTACACCGAATTGCTTGAGAATGAGAGGGCTTACAACTTTTTCTTCACATACTAACATTTAGACACGTCGCTTGCCCTGCCGCTTAAGCTCTGTCCTCGAACCATATGTCCCTAACTTTTGGCCGATGGATTTCCCGGATTATATAATGTTTAGCCATGTCACTCCATGAAAATCTGCGGGTATCCTGTATGACTAAATCCTGGGCAAATGATTTGAGAGCTCAGTAGTAAAGGTGGCCTTGAAAAACTAGTCTGAAATGCTCCTTTGTAGTGCACTTCGTGTCACTTCATAATGACTTGGTGGCACATTGAAATCCTCAGTACAACAAAGCAAGCAGATAAAAAAAGCATGATTTTAAACACCCTTGGTTTAAGGTCAGATTGGTGGTCAGAATGATTCTTCATCTAAACGAGGCAATTATTAATGACACAGAAGACTTCTTATAGTGTTTTTAAGTTTTTACATACGTTAACATTATAATAAATACTTTTCTTTGTAATAAACTTGAGCTAATTTATTTAAGCCTTATGGTGGTGTGACTTAATGACCAGCGAGGCATTTTAGTATGGGCTTTTAAAAGCATGACATCCTAGCTTTGGGTAATTTATTACCAGTAGTATCCTGTTGGAAAGCTGTAGTATCAGTTTCTTTGAGGACTAGGTTCTCTGGACCACAGACTGTGCTTTATATCTTCCAAAGAAAAGTTTAGGAAAATGAATACCTATCACCAAGCTTCCTTATTTTCTTCTGGTGAAAGGGCATGGTCCTGTGTAACTGTGGTAGGATTGCTGAAGGGTCTAGCTGGGTAAAAGTATTCTTTCTGGAATTTAATTGTGGAAGCTTTTATTGTTCAGTATTTGTTATGATAGTTGAGAGCTGCTTGTTTAATGAAATTAGTTCAGGTGTGAGTTTCAGGTTAACTTGTTAAAGAGTTCTTGCTTTTTAAGTAGGTCTGTTGTTGGGAAGGGAAAAACTTTTTCATAAGGGTGTTGGCACAGATCTTAGCGCTTTTTTTCCCTTAATTTTTATAGATACATTACAGTTGAACATATTGATGGCAATTTTTGTTACATATTTGTACACACATACATTATAACAATATAATGTGGCCAGTATCACTCCCAAATCTTAGCTTTTCAAACATGCAATGGTGGTCAATAGTTTTAATCTGGATATGTTAGGTTGTGAAAAATATGATTATTAATATGGAGTGTAATATAGTCTTCTTTTCATGACAGGTTTAATTACATTCTTAATGTTGTACAAACATCACCATTTTAGGATACCTTGAGCATCTTCAAATACAGCCAGTCTTATTTAAAAAATAGCTTAAAAGGACTGGGATTGTGGCTCAGCGGTAGAGCACTTGGCTACCCCTGGTGGGACCCGGGTTCGATCCTCAGCACCACATAAAAATAAATGCATTGTGTTGTATTCATCTACACCTAAAAAATAAATATTAAAAAATAAAATAAAAGAACAATAATAACAAAAAAAAACAGCTTAAAATTTTATCTTTCTGGCCATTTGAGGTACTTGTTCTTTTCCTTTGGATCCAAGTCTCTTACATGTGCAGATTAATTTTGTATATCAATAAAAACCTCCTTATTAGGTGAATTACTTCTCAGAGGGAATTTTGGAACTTTTTGCAAGAGATCTTAGAATATGGAAATAGCTTAAGATTTGTGTTATCTATTTGGAATCACTCTTAGTATCTTTTTCTAGCATACTTTGCCTAGAATTCGAATTTGCAATCAGTTACTTAGACTGTTTTTTTTTAAATATCTAATTCTAATTAAGATAGGTATGTCATAGAAGTTATGCAAAATTATTTAACAGGGCTCTCCAGTTTTCATGCTCCTAGGATTTCCCATTGTTTTGACATTTTTAGATAGCTTATGCTGTATGGTTCTCTGCTTTATTATGATGATATTGCAGTGTTGCGGTTTTCACCTAGAACCTCTAAGCAAGGCTTTGCCCATGGCATTTTGCTAAGGAATTAAGTCCCTTATGATTTTTTAAAATAAGTGTGCAAGGAAAAAAACAATAAAATTAGTTGAAGACAGCCAACAAGCTTATTTTCTTAGTTTACATCTTTTGTGAAATTGGTACTGTGTAAGTTAAGATCTGCAAGTGTCATTCTGTATGTTTCAGTGACATCCCACGAGAGCTGGCCCTGGTGGTCACAAGTGTCCAGGTTTCCAGGAGGATAACTTTAATGCTGGACACTCATCATTTTAGTCTTTTTTCCAGAATGTCTTGGGAACATCATGAAGTTCTTTTAGATATCCATTTATAGAAGCCTTGCAGACACCTACTTGATGAGTAACAATGGTTTTTGAATAATAACATCTACCATTTATCTGGTATTTATTATATAACAGGTCTTGTGCTAAGGGATTAAGTTCTCTTATTGAGTTCCCAACAACTTGTGAGGTATTATCTGTTTTATAGATGAGGGATTGAAGCCCAGAGAAATATAGTAACTTGCTCAATACACATAGCTTCTACATGGCAGTCAGAACTTAAATCCAGGGCTGTAATAAAGAGTATTATTTCCTTCCTTACTCCCATCCTTCCTTTTGTCCTTTTATTGTATTATGGTAAAACATACATAAAATTTGTCATTTTAACCATTTTAAGTATACGATTCAGTGGCACTATTTTCTAGTATTATGTAATCATTACACTATCCATTTCCAAAAATTTTTATCACTCCAAACAGATTGAATCCAATAAGCAATCTCTCTCTGTTCCCTCTCCTTTCTACTTTTGACACTGTGGATTTTCCAATTCTAGATGTTTTATATTAATTGGAATCTTGTAGTATTTGTCCTTTTGTTTATGGTTTGTTTCAACTTTATCATGATGGAGCTCTCCCAGTTCATCCTGTAGTGGCATGTATCCTTTAATTTTATGGTTACTCATTTGTTATCTTTTTGCAGTACTAGGAGTTGAACCCAGCTTTACCTGAGCTGCACCCCAGTCCTTTTTTTTATTTTGAGATAGGGTCCTACTACGTTGCTGAGGCTGCCTGGAACTTGGATCCTCCTGGCTAGGTCTCTGTGGTTGCTAGGATTACAGATGTATGCTGCTGCACCTGGCTTAATCCTTTTTATGATTGAATAATATTCCATTGTATGTATGTACCACATTTTGTTTACTAATTCATTTATTGGTGTGAGTTGGTTTGTTTCTTCATTTTGATATGAATAATGCAGATATGAACTTTGGTGTCTTATAGCAGAGAGACTGTATGAGTCTCTGTTTTGTTCTTTTGGCTGTAAACTTAGTAGTGAAATTGTTGGGTCATATAGTAGTTCTGTGTTTATCTTATGAGGGCCTGCCAAACTGTTTTCCACAGTAATGGTTCTAATTTCTCCACATCTTCACCAATATTTGTTATTTTCCATTTTTTAAAAATCATAGCTACTCTTGTGTTTGTGAAGCAGTGTTGTTTTGGTTTAATTTGCATTTCTTTTTTTCTTTTTAATTTATTTTTTTAGTTGTAGTTGGACACAGTACCTTTATTTTACTTATTTATTTTCATGTGGTGCTGAGGATTAAACCCCAGGGCCTCGCACATGCTAGGCAGTCGCTCTACTGCTGAGCCATAACCCCCGCCCAGATTTGCATTTCTCTAATAAGTACTAGCATTAGGCATCTTTTCATGTCTTTGGTAGCCATGTATGTATCTTCTTTGGAAAAATGTCTATTCGGGTTCTTTGCCCATTTTTAATGGGGTGTTTGGACTTTTGTTTAGTTGTAGGAATTCTTTATTATTATCAGGTACATGATTTACAAATATTTTCTCCCATTTTGCGGATTGTCTTTATACCCTCTCGATGGTATCTTTTGTACACAAAATTTGTAATTTTACTAGAGTCAGGTTGTCATCTTTTGTTGCTTATGCTTTTAGCTTGTTTTATATATACATTATATTATATGTTTATTTTAACCCTTCATTGATGAATAGAGAATAAATAGATCTATAACCAGTAATTTACAAGGTAACAAGTAACTTTTGCTTTCTAAGCTATGAACAGAAAATTTTTAAGTTTATTTCTTCTGCCTCATCTATGGAAAGGTTAACTAACAATAAAATGGTTTTGTAAAGTTAGCAAAGAAAATGCATAAACACTTCAGCTTTCTTTTTTTTTTAGAATTTTTTAAATATTTATTTTTTAGTTTTCAGCGGACACATCTTTGTTTGTATGTGGTGCTGAGGATCGAACCTGGGCCGTGCGCATGCCAGGCAAGCACGCTACCGCTTGAGCCACATCCCCAGCCCAA